TATTATATATATATATATATATATATGTATATATATACATATATATAATGTACATATATATATTGTATATTGTATTATATATATATATGTGTGTGTGTGTGTGTATGTGTGTATATATCGACATATACTTATACGTATACATATACATACATATACACACATAAATTTGTATATATATATATATATATATATATATGAGAGAGAGTGTGTGTGTGTGTGTATGTGCGTGTGTGCGCGTGTGTGTATTATATATATGTAATATATATATATATATATCTGCATACACACATACATACATACGTACATAAAGTGATACGCACACACACGCATATATATATATTTGTATGTATGTATGGATGTATATATATATATATATGGATTAATATTTAATTTAACATATGTATATAGTATCTATTATATAGATTTGTACGTTAATTGTTCATTTTCAATCCGTGTTTACCGATGTCTACCATCTTGTACATACATATACACATACTAACTGGTTTATGAAAACTGATACGTTTTTAATTCTTTCTGATACGTTCATTTTTCTTTACCAATCCACGTGTACTGATTCTATCCACGTCTACATACACATATACATATTGTCTCTGTAGTACAACCTACCATGTTTCTTCTACTTTCTTGTCTTGTGTAGGGACCTGGGCCTTGCTTTATTCCGTAAAGAGATCGTTAACCAACCCATCTTACGCGATCGGATGATTGCACGGCTTATAATGTTGATCAACCGAGAGAGGTGTGTGCGCGTGAAACGTGGTCTTGTGGGGACATTGGCGTGCTGTTGTATTGTGTTGTGTTGCTGGTGTGTGCGCATGTACTTGAGTAGGGTTTATTGTTAACTCCTCAGTGCTGATCAACCGAGAGAGGTGTGTGCACATGAAGCGCGGTCTTGCGATGACATTGGCGTGCTGTTGTATTGTGTTGTGTTACTGGTGTGTGCGCATGTACTTGAGTAGGGTATATTGCTAACTCCTCAGTGCTGATCAACCGAGAGAGGTGTGTGCGCGTGAAGCGTGGTCTTGTGGTGACATTGGCGTGTTGTTGTATTGTGTTGTGTTGCTGGTGTGTGCACATGTACTTGAGTAGGTTTTATTGTTAACTCCTTAGTGCTAATCAATTGAGAGAGGTGTGTGTACATGAAGCGTGGTCGTTTGGTGATGCTGGTGTGTTGCCCTGTTGCTGAGGTGTGGAGTATGTATCTAATACGTTGTGAGCGTATACGTTTATTGCTACCTTCACAGTTGGTGTCCATTGGGAGAGGTGTGTGCACAGAACAGCGTGGTTCTTGGTGGTGACATGCTTCGCCGTTGTGGCTGTGTTGATGAGTTTCTGAGGCGTCGTGCGGATGAATTCGGGACACGTTATCAATTGTATCAATTGCATCACTCGTTGAATGGTCGTACACACAATGATTCGATTTACTATCCAGGAGCCTCCTTTGGCTTCACCGAATACACCAGACCGTTTCAAAACCCTGCGCCCAAAAACCCTACACACTCCATCCGCCAGTACACGTGCTATCTGCCTCTTATATCCTACGCCAACCCTTTCTGCCACAGAGACGACCGCAGCATCGACCGCGGGATCGTTCGGAATATCTGCGACATGTTCAGCTGTTTAACGGTATGCTGGACACGTTGAGGTGCCTTTGGTTAACTCACGCGCTTGGCATGTAGCATGCGCGATAAGGATCATTTGGCGTTTACTGAACACGGCCACCTCTGCCTATGGCGCTGTAGTCTGGGCTCTCAGAGGCAGTATAACACGCAACTGTATGCGCACATGACATGGCAGCCGTGCAGCTCATATGCACCCGCAACGGTCCTGTATCACCTTAATGGTCTAACCGGAAGGGCCCCTACTTCCCTCTGGGTGTAGGTTATGCGTCGTGTGCACTTTGTTCACATGTATTGGATTCGGTTGTGTGTGTATCAGTCCTACGCCTGGGATAGTCCGTATGTCTCTGACACAGGATCCAATTCCTCGCACATGTGTAGACGTGCGTGTACGGGTCGTTCGAGTCAGTATGCTATAGCTATACGTCTAACAAATGTATCATGTTATTGACACATACACCACTTAATACCACACCTGCAGATGTACACGTCTTCTTAGAGATGCATAGATCCACACCTGCGAGTATAGCTCATCTCGCGTACTCACGACTTCCTCATCACCGAACATGTAAATGCACACTCGCTGCTAGACCATGCAGATGCACACGTCTTATTAGTCCGTGTATCTCATTGTACACTCGAGCGTATCAACCATCTCACTCCTTGCTAACTCACTCATCAACCCGCGTGCAGATGTACACGGCTTTTTAGACCGTGCATCTCATTGTACACTCGAGCGTATCAACCATCTCACTCCTTGCTAATTCACTCATCACCCCGCGTGCAGATGTACACGTCTTATTATACCGTGCATCTCATTGTACACTCGAGCAAATCAACCATCTCACTCCTTACTAACTCATTCATCACCCCGCGTGCAGATGTACACGTCTTATTAGACCGTGTATCTCATTGTACACTCGAGCGTATCAACCATCTCACTCCTTGCTAACTCACTCATCACTCCACGTGCAGATGTACACGTCCTTCCAGACAGCCTTCCTCGAGGCCACCCAGGAGTACTATGCGGTCGAGGGCCGCCGATTAGTCACTACACTCACCGTCCCAGAGTATCTGCAGTACATCAGCAAGCGCATGCAACAGGAACAGAGCCGCATTGAGGACTATCTTCACACAGACACTTGGGTGCCTGTGTGTGCCATCATGAGACAGGAGCTGTTGAAGACCCATGTGTCGGAGTTGCTGGAGAAGGGTGAGCAGAGTGTGGGATATATATATATCTCTCTCTCTCTCTCTCTCTCTCTATATATATATATATATATATCTATATATATATGTATGTATGTATGTATGTATGTATGTATGTATGTATGTATGT